TTAGACCCCTCTTTCAGGACTAGTTCGTTGTCATATTTGTAACTAACTCAAGTGGCGACTTTCACACCAAGCCCGTCACTGCACCCGCGTATGTTTTTAGTCGTCGGTATTTGTTTTGTCGCCAAAACATTGTGAGTATGTTGCGTGTAGATGTCGCGAGAGTTTACTTTACCTCACGCCTAATTGGTGTCCAAGTCACAACTACGACCTCTCTTAGACAGTGATTGTCTAATGGGCGAGCCACCTAACATTTTTGATTCGCTTATTGTTTTGAATGCTCAAGCAAAGCGCCAATCCTATCGCCCTACTTTAGTAAGGAGCTGTTTGCAAAGCCTATATATTCATTATTCTAGCCGCGATAGCACACGCCCAAGAATCGATTCAAGCTAATGGGCGATAGGGTCAGTGAACTCTAACAATCAGCTTGCAGGCATATGCTTGAACCGGCCTCTTGAAACATTGAATTGTTGCAAGCTCGGTTGCGTCTGCAATCAATCAAAAACAATATTTGGCTGGCAATTTTTTTTCTCGCAATACACTTTTGGGTAAATTCGAATGACGCCATGACTAGACCTTGTTAACGACATTTTCTTGACATCTAGGTCGTTTTAACCGATCGCGCTATTTTCAATTGCTTAATTCCTTGGTCTTTAAAGCTCTCAGCCTGCGGAATTCAGCAGCCGCCAATGCGGAAGATGAGTTGAATGCTCCGGACCCGCAACTTTTGCGTCTTGACAAGATGCTCGTAGCCGAAGGCGTAACTGGGCCGACCGACCTCGGTGATTTTGACGTCTCTGGCATCCCTACAGAATGCAATCAGATTGAGCACGCCGACTACCGTGCTAAGCTTGCTCAAATACGTCAACTCTATCACGCTGAGCTTGAGAAATACAAAAATGTAAGCAGTCTTCTCCATAAGAGCAATCAGCTACTGTGTAGGAGGCATTTTAATTTTATTTGTTGACCGTTCTTCAGTTTTTTGCCTTTTCTTGTTACTTAAACGTTTTCTTTGTCGCGTTGTTTGCTTTTATTCACACTCCGGGGCTCATCATTGAATGGGATCAAAGAGTATTAACCACCAAGAGTGAATTCCTCGCCATCAGGGTGACTAGCCCCTCCTCGGGACATTGCCAGTCCTTCCTATATCGTGGTTCGTCTTAAATAATGATGGTCATCTTTATCAGTTCATACTTGCTGTACTTTAACCAATTTCTTTAGAAAAGATGTAAATACAGCCCATGACTTCCTGTCTAGCGTAGTCTTCAATAAATGTTCTGAGTGTTCGATGTTCTGATCCTGACATTGTCTTCATCGTCCTTGCCTAAGAGGTAGACATTGCCTCTCGTATTTCGAATTAACCTCTTAATTGAGCTTCGCCGCCTCCTACATCCCAGCTGTTCAGCATGTAAAGACTGCGGCTTTAATTTATCTTAAAGGAGACCGTGCAGATGAATTGTTTTGTTCGTTGGCACCATCTAGGACATTCAACTACACGGCAGCGAGGTTTTGCGCTCCTGATTTTGGGATTGGGGTTGGTTAGTTTTATCTGTCCTATGTTCTTGGGATCCATGTATTCTCAAATTTAGCCTTCGCAGTTAAGCAACTGCTTTCCTGACACCGCTAATGATTGATGTGTCATTTGCAAAACAGTAGAGCCCGTAATGGCAATTTCTGGTGCTGTTGCCTTAGTTTTCCAGCCGTATCCCAGCCTCAGATCTGGAGAACTTGAGGTTTCAACCTCGATTTAGATAGTCATAAATTGAACCAGGTGCTCGCTATCTTGCCGCCTGCGTCATATGAGAATGATGTGCACCAACTCGTTTTGACCTCAGAACAGAGCACGGATGATTCCGTTTCGATCTAAAGCTTTCGTGACGGTCGCATAGTGGCGATTACTTAAAACTTGCACTTGTTACAGCTGCGATCATAACTGACCTAGTCGGCCTCAATTATGTCTCGTACGGTGCTTTTCCACGCGCGACGATCCGTGGCCGCAGACCTGGACAGTTCGACCCATTCT